AAAAAAAAACGCAACTCCAATTCTCCAGCCCCAATTCTCCGAGCTCCGCAACGCTCCAATTCTCCAGCCCGCAACGTTCTTCGTGACCTTCGAGCACCTCATCCCCGGTGAATCCGAAAACAGGTAGCTGTTTCCCCAATTCCGAGCTCGTCGTCACGCTGTTTTCACGACCTCCGACATCCGTTGCTCCTCGTCGGCAAAAAATTGATCCTGCAGCTTCACTGGTAATTAAGGTTCTCATCCCTTAATTTTTTGTGCTCACCGGAATTAGGGCTAAGGCTTTGCAAATCGATTTTTGTTCTTCTTTCAATTTTCACCGGCGAACCGAGCCACGTCGTGACCCAACCGAACACTGTGGCGACGAACCTAACACCCGCAATCTCCGAGCTCTGACCTCCAGCCGATTAGTCTTCCTTTTACGGCTACCGTCCTTAGCATCCGACCTCTTCCGACCTTTTACGGTTAGTCTTTTTTTTATGTTCTGTCTTTTGTGCATTATTTTGACCGGGATCGTGTGATGTTGTGATGAACCATTATGTGTTATGCTAGATTTATTAAGTTTGTTGAAATTATGGGTTATGAGGCATGCTAGATTTGTTATGTGATGAAACATTATGTTGTGTTTGAAATGTTTGTATGCTTTGTTGTATTTGGGCTGAGAATGTGAGCTCTTTATGGCTCCTTATGTATGCTACGAGAAATGAGAAAATAATAAAAGAGCAAAAGAGGCATTCTGTTGAAATGTTGTCTTGTGAGTTTTTGTGCATTTTGTGGGATTAAATGTGAATTGTGGAATTAAATTTGGGACACCTTAAAATGTGGGATTAAATTTAAGCATTTTGTTGGGCCCTGTTTTGAGGAAAAAAGGGTGTGAATTGACAGCAGATGAGGCCTTTAATGTGTCTGCTGATTGTGTGATTGTGTAATGTTTGGAGTCTCATGAAATCTATTACCTTCTTGAGAAACTATGTAATTAGTAGTGTGTTGATGTATTTGGTGTAATATGGCTTAGTGTGTAATAACCTATGAGTCTTAGTCCCAATGGCTTCCATTGATGTATGTTGCTTGTATTATGTTGTAGTCTATGTGGTTCTCTATCTACAATATCAGTCTGGTTTTTAATGATTATTATTTTTTTTCTGTTTAACCATGCATTTTATAGGCTAAACTTAATGTTTATTATTTTTTTTTCCATTGATTATTATTTGTTTTCAGGTCTCAAGATTATACAGCTGTCCTGTATTGTCTTAGACAGGTAATACATCATTTCATTTGATGAACTCATTTTTATAATTGATAATAACCCGAGCTTTTCCCTGCAGTTGTTTGAGAAAGTTGAAGTGGAGAAGCCACAAGCTAGTCGATCAGCTTTTGCTGAAATATATGTTTTGGGTTTCAAGTACAAAGCACCTGCAAAGATTGATCCTCGCCTTCTTGATGTGAAGCATCTATTTCAGGGAGGAAACGAACCGCCAAAGGTAATTTTCACTCCCCTAGTCTAATTATTAACTCAATTGCCATTCATTTTCTATCTAAAATGATACTCATCCATGTAATATGAATGATTATAGATTGTGGACGTACTCAGAGGAACAAAGCAAAAGCGACATCGTGATGGGTACAATTTACATTTGTTAATATGATGTTCGATTATCTTGTAGCGTAACATACCAATATATTGTCGTGTGACTAGGCTGAAAAAGTTTATTCTATGAACCAAACACATCTTTTATGTTCCTTTTCTTTTGAGTGATCTTGTAGGTTCCTTCAGCTGTGCTCATGAGGAATATATAATTACTGTTTCTAGAATTACTGTTAATTGCTCAATATATTAGTACCCATTATTTTAGCCCATATGTTTCCAACTAGACATTTTCATGGGTTTTGATAGCTCAATTTTCTTAGTTGTATGGTGCTTTTTTTTTCAATTTCTATTTTGAGTTTGTAGTCATAAGATGATAACCTTTGCAGGTATGAGGAGGTAATGGATGCCGGAGAGACTCGTCGGAGTGGAGGTGTGGCCGGTGAGAAACGCGGGTCGTGATTTTCGGCTTTAGGGTTCCCGAATTCGAACTCGAACTACCCGGTAAATTACAGGGTGAAGAATCTTGGATTGTGACGACGAATTTCTGAAAAAATACAAGGATTTCGAGATAAATTGATAATCGATGGTTTGAATTTTTGAGAGAAGTCGCGGATTTGAGAGGAGATAGAGTCGAGAGAATGGCCCGAAAACATGCTCAAGAGGCTAAAAAATGGGGACTCCCACGGGCCGCGACTTGCCTTAGTGTCGCGACATTTTTACACTCCGCGGCCGCGTGATTTAATAGCAGAAGTTCAGGTTCTGGGACCAATTAGTCGCCGCGGCCGTGGCTATTAAAAGCTCCGCGGCCGCGATTGTTCTCCACGGGCGCGACAAAAGTCCGAGGCCGCGAATATTTTAGGCAGGGTCCCTCCTCAATCTGCAACCAAAGTAGTCGCCGCGGCCGCGACTAAGGAAGCTCCGCGGCCGCGAGTAATGAAACTTTTTTTTTTCGTTTGACACTATTGTATACTATTTGATTTTTTAAATTACTAATGGGATTACAATAGCGTGGTTTCCCGGCACGAGACATACACGGGCAATTTTAGCGACTTTAGGCACTAAGAATGAATAAAAAACGACTATACATAGAGCGTTAAAAGAATATAAAAACAAATATATTATAAAACGATGACTACATCAAAATAACAAAAATACACACAACAATTTATCCCACAAAGTCATTAACCACACACAAATCATCCAAATAAATAACATCTCAATTATGTTTTGCCACAAAAGAAAAAAAGAAAAAAAAAATGTTTATTAACGATGATTACATTTGCACTTGTGTGCAAGTGCATCTAGTATGGCCGGGTTATCTGCATATTGCACACTTACGAACTTTTTTTCCTGATGATGAAGCGACAATCGAGGGATCAACTTGAGGGACAACACGACAACAAGTCGTGGAGTAATGCCCACGTTCATTACAACGAGTACAAAATGATGATTTTCCAGAACTTGAAGAAGTGAAATCGATACTCACATGTGTGTTTGTCTCCACCAACAATGTCATTAACTCTATTTAAAAAGTCTTCATACGACAAACTCCCCAAACGCATAAAGTTCATCTCTGCCTGTCCATTTTTATAAATATTCTCATCCCAAAATCCGCTATGCACAATTCGAACTTTTTCACACATCTGTAAACCAAATATGTAAAAGTATTTAATGACAAACAATTTCTAGCAAGAAATATTTGAGAATTAAGTAATCAATGTTTATAATAAAACAAATAGAATGGTTTACATAATGATTTTTGAAATCACACAAATTTTTCATACGATTCGAAAAACATTTTTGTGATGTATCTATTGTTTCTGAGATCCCATAAACCGTGTTTCTTGTGATTCAAAACAGATTTATGGGACAAGAAATCGATTTCTGGGAATAGAAATAGATTTCTTGTCCAGAAATTGGATTTCTGGTCCAGAAATCGATTTCTGGTCCAGAAATCGATTTCTGGGCGATTTCTAGGCCAGAAATGTCATTTATAACCCAAAAACGTATTTCTTGCCCAGAAATCAATTTCTGGGCAAGAAATCACATTTCTGATACTAGAAATCGATTTCTGGACATTTCTGGACAAGAAATCAATTGTTAGTCAAGAAATTCATTTCTTGTCAAGAAATTGATTTGTTGTCAAGAAATCAATTTCTTGGCAAGAAATCACATTTCTGGGACTAGAAACGAAATAATCCAGAAAACGATTTCGGAGTTCCAGAAATCACATTTCTGGCCTAGAAATAACATTTCTGACCCAGAAATTGATTTCTCGCAGGGAAATGTGATTTTTGGGCTACAAATTAATTTCTGGACTAGAAACGAGACAATCCAGAAATCGATTCCTGGTTGGGTCAGAAATGTGATTTCTGGGTCAGAAATCGATTTCTAGGACAAGAAATGAGATTATCCAGAAATCGATTTCTGGGTCAGAAATGTGATTTCTGGGTCAGAAATCGATTTCTAGGACAAGAAATGAGACTATCCAGAAATCGATTTCTGGGTCAGAAATGAGATTTCTAGGTCAGAAATTGATTTCTAAGAAATGAGACTATCCAGAAATTAATTTCTGGGTCAGAAATGGGATTTCTTGGTCAGAAATTGATTTCTGGGTCAGAAATCGATTTCTAGGACAACAAATTAGACTATCCAGAAATCAATTTCTGGGTCAGAAATGGGATTTCTGGGTCAGAAATTGATTTCTAGGTCAGAAATCGATTTCTAGGACAAGAAATGAGATTATCCAGAAATCGATTTCTGGGTCAAAAATGTAATTTCTGGGTCAAAAATTAATTTCTGGATCAGAAATCGATTTCTAGGACAAGAAACGAGACTGTCCAGAAATCGATTTCTGGGCCTAGATTCGATTTCTGGTCCCAGAAATCATTCAATTTTCCAAGAAATCTATTCTACATTTTTTTTTCTTTGCCATATTCATTTTATTAATTTGAAAAAGAAGATAAATTATAACAATACCTTTAAACTAATATTTCCAAGATATCACCGAAATGTTGCCGGAATGAATATAGTGAAAATGATTTTTTTTTTTTTTTTTTGTTAAGAGAATGTTTTTTTTAGATGAGTGTATAAAATTGATGAATGAAGAGGAAGTGAATGAAGAGAGAAGAAAGATGAGAGAAGAGAGATTATTTTAAAAAAAAAAAAAAAATTGTAGTAAGGGTATTTTTGACATTTTAAGTGCCAAAATGGCTAAAAAAGAGGTTTTTTTTAAAATGTGGCAAAATTTGTGGTATACAAATCTAAATGGCCAAAAAAAGAAATTCATTGTATAAATAAGTATAAATAAATAAATATATATATGTGTGTATATATATTTAATATATTATTTTAAATCAATTTTCAAAATGTAACATGACGACACTTTTGTATAAAACATCATAATTTAATTACACTTTTAAATAAATGTCGCAATATCAATTAATTTGTGACACTCTTTAAAAAGCGATATGATTTTATTACACTTTTTTAAAAATGTGTTGTTATTATTTATATTTTGTGACACTTTTTAAAAAGCATCACAAACACACCAACTTAATTACACTTATTTAAAAAGTCACCATATTCATATTGTTAGAACTCC